GTATTTTTGAACTTAGAAAATGATGGGACAAAGAGAATAGCAGTTACTGATTCAGTCAATGTTGCAGTGAAATATACCAAGAAAAGTAAGAATTTTAATTCAGAGATTGCAGAACATGACTTGAGATGAGTCAAAAAAGATTTCTCTTTTTTCGTATCAGTTTTTGGATTCTCATCCAAAGTTACTTAGAAATTGAAACTTTTAGCCTTTGGAATCATTCCCCTAAAGTGCACACTAAATTTTTGAAAAAAGGCTCGGAAAAAAAATAAATAAAAAGTTAATATTTCCAATAGTTTGATTATTTAATATTGAATTTAATACAGGTCAATAGAGCGAAAATTCTGGACAAAAATCTGGCTGTTTTAAAATCTAAAAAATAAGAATCCATACATTTAGAATTTCAGTTTTTAGAAGTTCTAATTTCTATCTAAATAAATTTTGAAGGTACGCATCTTCTTCGAAAAATTTAATTACACATTCAAATAGAGTAAATAATTCTCTAGAAAATCAGCTAGAAAACATTGAAAAATGTAAGTTAGGCGCTAAGAGAGACGAAACAATGAGTGGACTATCTATGTCAACAGATCTTGAGAAACTTGATAACAACATAGGTTATGTAGAAAACATTTTTATTTTGTTTTCTGCAAATCTATTTGCTGTAACCAAGATTTCGTGGAAAGAATATTATGATTTGAACATGATGTCTTTATTCTCTGATGACAGCATTAAATATTTGATTATTTGTGGATTAGAACCGAAAGAACAGCTTCGTTATCACATTGTACATTCTCCACTGTCAATCAAATGCAAACGTAATCCTAGTCTAGATGGACGAGGTATTAGTCCTATTGACAATGATGAAAAAGCGACATGTATTGTTGAAGTAGAAAAATGTCTAATTGGTTTAGCTAGTCGAGAATTTTTTGTCCTAACTCGATTGTTTCATAGCCATAATACGAAAAAACGAAATAGATTTCTTTCTTCTTGGGTGAATGAGGTTGAGGGTTGTTTAGTCTCTTATGAATTTCTTTGGCTTCTCGAATACCCTAACGAATTATGTGATTCGGATAACCATTTTTCTTTAATATTTCAAACAGATAATTTCTTTCCGCTCTAAGTAAATTTTCGTTGGAACAGAGTCTTAGAGAACGAACATAAAGGTAAATGATAAAGGTAATGCTATAGTAATACTCGACAAAAACGATTACTTAACAAAAGCACGAAATTTTGAATTCCAGACAATTTAAAAAGACAAAGAAAAATGAAGTAGAACAGAGAGAAAAGAAATGAATAAGTTTTTACGTGAAATGTTAGAACAAAAAGTGATTGAAAAAGATCTTTTTTATGAACTTCGCTCAACGTGTTCATCACCTGCTGTTTTTTACGGACATCCGAAGATACATAAAGCCAACTCTCCTTTACGCCCAATCATCGCCACCACTTTCTCTACTTCTCGTGTCTATTAGACGAAAGGATCGTTCCCAGCCTATTAGATAATCAGAAATTTGAAATTGAATGGCCACCTAAAATACCAGCACAGTTATCTCTCTTAATGTTAGATGTTCCATCTGGCACTAATATAGATGAATTAAGACAAGATGTTCAAAGAATTTATCCATCGATTGTTAAAGCCGATAGTCAACCAACGTATAAATCGATAACACGTGTAAATGTTAGATTAGACTTTCGTAATTCTACAGAATATGAGAGATATACAGAAATTGGTAAGATTAGTCTAGATCATTTTGAATTCAAGATCAAAGAATTTTTTAGGTGCGATTTTCAACCGGCAACCGGGTTATTCCGTCGACGAAAATAGTTAAATCCTCGACTTTGTTGATGGCTACGTTACAGTGGAAATTAAAATTTCAATCTTCACTAGTGAAGTTTAAAATTTCAATTTCCACTGATAAGAATCCAGTGAAAATTGAAATTTTAAGTTCAACTAGTGGAGAATAAAAATTTTATATTGACTGTTTTTAGTCTTAATATCAGTAGAATATACTTTTTTCAGAGAAAGACTTCAGCCCATTCTTTCGAAATGTAGTTAACACAGACTAGATTAAAGAAAGTAGTCAGTCACAGGTCACAATATCCGAAAGAAATCGTGGATGTATTCAAGAACAGAATAGAAGAAATAGTCATTATCTTCTTCAGCCAGCAAATACAAATCTTCTATCTGTGAAGTATTTCCACTCTCTGTATTAAAATGCTTAATTTTCAGCAAAATAAATGAAAGGATACAATGGAAAGATACAATGTACAATGGCTCGGATTGTCGAATTCTCTGCTTAAAGAATACAATGAACAGTGGATTCGTGAACAATTTTCTATCTGTCTTTGTAACGAAGCAGTAAATAAGAGAAATCGAGAATTTACGTGCAAAAAGGAAAGAGAGGAAGGGGCTATAAATAGTCAACCATCTTTCGTTGTATAATCATTCGTTTATTCACAAACTCGATTATCATTACCTACATTCATTCACTCATTCAATCATGTCATCATCCAATCAACAAAATCAAACATTAGCGGCACTTGGTCTAAGTGGAAATACTCGAGGCGCTCCAAAGACACTTGAGGTGTTTGCCTTAAACACCAATGATCCATTCACCCATCTTCAATCCGCGCAATTATTACAACGTTCAGGCGCTGATCCAATTCTTTGGACTGGCACTGAACTAACTCGGTCAACTCCGGCTGGAAATTTCCGTCTATATAAAGACGCGAGTAATGTTTTTGGTATTTGGGTGCCGAACTCGCAGGCTTTTTACTCCGATGGCATCCCACCAAACATATCTGCTCCGGATATTCTATCTGGGCAGATGGTTGGCGGGTCCCATGCGGATAGAACCGAGCCAGTTCGACACTACCCGGCATACGGTCATAGCTCTGACTATCGACGTAATGACAGAGTCTTCACAAACTCGAATCATCGAAAAAACAGAGCTACTCCGTATAATCGTCCAGCCGGGTATAAACAATACCAATATTCTAACACTCCATCAGAACAATATAATCGTGACGACAGCCAGCAGTCGTTACACCGTAGATGCATCCGCATCATTATCCACTTTAAGGCAGGAGAGGGAGCAGAGCGCTAAAGCCGCTACCTCTCATCGACCATCCCATTTTTCATCATCATATAAACGTGGGCGCCAGACGAGCTCGATAACAACAGTCACGCCTATGCTTATAGGTCGAAACCCAGCACATGGTCTGGCTCTAACACCAGAACAACAGCAACGGCGTACGTTGTTGAATCAAAAACGACGTGAACGTCGTATATGCATAGGCGTGACTGTTGTTATCGAGCTCGTCTGGCGCCTCTGTTGATCAACTTGACCATAGTGAGCATTCGTCTTTTGGTCAAGACCGAGAACGTAAGTGAATCAAAGAATCGATAGAAAATTTTTTTTAAGCGTTTCTACTTTACAGGCTATTCCCCTAGAAGTTATAATAATTATCAACGACAAAATATTGGTGATGGAAGTGGATACTATGGCGGTGATAACGGACCACAATATCAAGGTAAATTATTATTGAGAGTCTGAATGAAGCAGTCCTATCTGTTAATTGGCGAGGAAAAGTCTGTTAACGATCTTGGCTCATGTTAGGTCATGGCAACGGTGCTGAAAATTATTCAAGTGGTGGTGAAAGCGGAGTTCATTATTCTGGCGCTCAATTTCTTAATAACAACCTGCAATGGACACAAAATAAAGAATGGCGTGGCCAGTGGTATTAACTTTTTCATGTTCTGGTATGAATTCTCACTTGTTCATTAGGTGGAAGAGTCTTCTAATTTTTTCTGTATTTCATTGTATATTATTTTGTTGCTTGTTTAAATTACTAGAATATTCGTAGAATAAGAATATAGTGTACATTTTCTTGAGACAAAATATCAGTCAATATTTTCATTTTTTTTGTCTATTCTCTCTCTTACAATAAAAACCGTGTTTACTTCCACCCACACTGGCGTACAGAGGATGGAAAAAAAAACTCACTTAACGCGTATGAAAACTTAGATAATTTTACCCGTGGAGTTGAATATCTGACAGCTGTCTGACATCCTCATGCTTGTTTGTATTTTTGCCAATTTGTCGATTGTGATTTCTGTCTTATGTGACAGTACCATTACCATTTCTCTATATAATCATTTAAAAAGGTGTTTTCTCCTATTACTAAAGATTTTGTTATTGTTTGATAGACAAATCATATTTTTGGCTTCTGTAAGTAATGAGTACCACAATCGTGATGTAAAAATGGCTAGTTAGTTTGTTTTTTACCACTGAGTGTTAATAAATTTTCACATATTTGCAATGCTTTTCGAATAGAGTCTAAAGTTAAATAGAATATTTGTTCTCGTATAGAATGTGATCACACTTCTATGCACAGTAGAATATACCCAACAATATTATGTTTCTTTTCATAAATTCTGCTGATTTTATAGTACTTTAAGGGCAATTTATTTTGACTAATTTTTTCATAACACTTTCCACTTGAGTGCGTAATCGTTCAGTTTTAAATGCCTAAAGTACGATCATCGTTTTATAAGTGATTTTCGATTTATGTGAGTGGTCATATTTAGTTTACTGTATATGAAATTGAGTTAGAAACTGATTGATAAATCAATAATGGGTCCAGTTTGACTAAACTTCTTAATTGGCCTTAATTACCGATTTAGCTTTCAAAAGAAAAACTGCTTTTGATTGTGCAATCATGGTGTCTTGTACGGAATTTAATTCTCTATAACATGACTCATCCTGTTTACAGTGCCGACGCTCATAACAAATTTTGTTTTTCACAACTCGAAAAACGAGCATTTTTGCGAAAAGCTTTTAGAAACTCGAAACCTATCTATTTTTTTTCCACTTAAATGTCTTCCATCTATGATGCACTCTAGAGAAAAGTGAAAATTCGAGTTTTGTGATGTGTATTCTGACCAGATAAACGCAAAACTCTCTGCGTAAGAGTGTTACGAAACTAAAATGATGGGCTTGAAGAATTGAGCTGAGAATAACTTTTGTACGATTGGATAGGTCATTGATTGGGCTACAAAATGGCTCCAGAAGAAAAAACAATTTTTATCATTCATTTTGAGAAACAGCCTCCAAACACCTGAGAGAAATCGGCCTGTTTTCGTCACAGCGTTACTATGTCATTCAGATCTAGCGACAACAATCATGTTCATAGTCGGAATCATCATGTTTAATAACCTATTCTCCCGTATTTTCCTGAGCCAAAAGCAATTTTCAAGTTAGACAGATTCCTTGGAAAGAGTTAGTTTAGAGTTCGTTTTAGATGAAAAAACCCATCTCATTATGCCAATGTCTAAATTATCAACGTCATCGCTAATCAACTTGACTTCATTCAATCAAATATTTAATCATTATGTGACTAACAGCCATTTTAATAGCAATTTTACTTAACGGATAATACAAAAGTTCTGGAGGAAAATGTCATTCAGGTAAATTTAGAAGCTTATGAGAAAGATAATTATGCACTTATGGACACATTTATTGTTTCAATTTTCCGAGATTTTTTCAGGATAGGAACTATTTGGTAGGATCTGTAACTTTGCCTATGCAACTACTCTCGGCGCTTTCCATTTTTCACCCTCAGTTTTATTTTCATACACCCGCTATCTATTGAATGCTTTATTCTTTAGGATTCATTCACTCACTATCTATTCAAATATTTTCGGCCGCAAGTAGAACTTCAAGGAGCATTATTTGCAGAAGCTCACATTTTGGTTTATGTTAAGCCATGTGAAACTCTTTGAAAAAGAGTGAGGGTGTTACTCTTGAGACATTTAATCTGAGCTGATGATTAGTTAGAGTAGTTTCTGTTCTTAAATAAGAATTTGGTTTATTTTTGATTCATGTTGTCGCAGTACTAACGTCATTTGTTAGCAAGATCAGTATGAGCATTTTCTTTTCAATTTTCTTCTCATGAAGTAAGGCTTTAACGGGTTTTATGGAAAACTGAGGGTGAAAAATAGAAAGTGCCAAGAGTAGTTGCGTGGGCAAAGTTACAGATCCTACCAAATAGCGCCTATCAATGACACTGCAGTAAACACCCCCCATAATAGAAGACCGTCCCTTAATAGAACTACCCCCTATTAGAAGACCAGTGCCGATTATATGGCTTGAAAGCCAAATAGAAGACCATGGACTTCTAACTCCTAGAAAACCATGGTCTTCTATTATGTCCGACAACAAAATCGGAAAATGCCTTTATAGGGCAATTTTCAAGAAAATTTTGCGAAAATGTTCGGTTGAAGAAAGAAAAGAAAGACCTAATTTTTTCTCAAAGTCAAAATGTTTTACAATAGGGGATCTACTACAAGTTTGTGACGCATCACCGTCGGACTACTAGCACACGATAAAATTTGACCGCAATAGAAGACCATCCTATCGAACTCAACTTGCCAGACAAAATAGAAGACCAGGTGGTCTTCTATTATGGGGGGGGTTATCACTATCCATTCTAGACCTCATGACCAGCTTCCAGACTCAGCTCGGACTCCTCTCCAAGATTTCAAAAACATTTTTTCTTAAATATATCAGTATTTGTTGTCTTTTGTCCACGTGAACTTGCTTGTATTTTACAGTGCGAAACTCTTTATTCACGAACATTGTTAATAAAAAAAAGTAGAAAAGCATATGAAAAAGAATAAACCATATCTTATGCAATCCAGTTTATGAATCATTTCGACCTATATTTTCTACAATACTCAACATAGAATATTAACATTGGATGCAAGGAATACTCATCGTTTCGATGCAAACTTTTCTTTCTATACATGGCAACTTCAAAATTGCATCGTACGTCATCACATTCGAACTCAAAACTGTGAACTATTGATCATCTATAAATAGAATAGTATGTCTGTTCTGGTTCTTTTGTGATCAGTCATTGCATAATTGAGCGTTGCTGTTCTTTCTTTTTTTATCTGTTTATTCTTATGTGCACTTATGTCATTTTACTTTTTAATCTTCGGCACTAGGTTAATCTAGTGAACCAATCTTACGACAATTCTATAGAAACCTTATAAAGATCTTATAAGAGTCTTATATAGATGAGACATTTAACCCTTTGGCTGCCGAGTTTTTTTAAATTTTTTAGGCAAAGTTTTTTCTGATTAGAACTTATTTTAATGAAAGTAAACCTTTTTTTATCACAAAAATTTTAAAAATCACAGTATTTCTTGATTATCATATAAGTTACATAATAGTTAGGAAATCAGAGAAAATGTTGAATTTAAGTAAAAAGAACCTTCACCTCTTCTATCTCCAATTTCATCAAAACCCTCAATTTCATCATCTGACGACAGATCTGAATCTGGATGAGTGATTAATTCGTTTTCCATATCTCATTCTAATTTTGATGAAAATGCGCACAACACAATACACTTGGCACCAAAAACACAAAATGATTGAGAAAAATTGAAAAAAGAAAGAAATGAAAAAAACTTGTTATTTCATACGACTGTTTCTTGAGAACGACGTTCAACCTATCAATAAATAGATTTCATCAAGTTCTACAACTTGGTGAAATCAGATAAATTTTACCTCCAATATTTTTTGAGATATTCGCCTCGATCCAGTATACTGGCTCCCGGCAGCCAAAGGGTTAATATTGTATTGATGAAGAACATCATCACAAGATTGATCCGCCCATTGTGTGCATTACGGATAAATGTCAGTGTCGACCATATTGATTCTCTTTATCAGGTGCTTGCATATAGCTAGTCATCTGTTGTTCTCGTTCTCAATTGAAAGATTTATGTACGATAGATGATTGATAGAACAGATAAAATGAAATACACCGATAACGATAATTTTTTTTTAATTGCACGACGTTTGTTACTAGTACTTCTCATATAACAAAAAGAAAACTAAAAAGAATTTCTAATGAGCGAATGGACTTCATCCTTATTTCTTTCTTTGACAAAATTGATCAGAAGACTGATCATACTACCGTCAAAAACCAATAGAAATGAAAATAAAAACATGGCATGACGGAATAAACTATACTTAAAATATCAAATAAGGTTTAAGGAGAATTTTGCTCAACAAAAGCCATATAGATCATTCGAAAACATACTTAGTCTCATATCTCACGATCACATCAAAAATTGATTATGACTAAAGTGTTAGTTTTATTTTCTATATTCTTATTTATTTTGAAAATTGAATGAACACATGACGATTACATTCAGATGGAAATAAACGAGAAAAGAAAGTCGATTCATTTGTTCTTTATATCAGTTTTCTTGACACGTGTTGAATTCAACTTATCTAATTGAGCTTTGACATCGTCTCCCATTGATTGTCGACTTCGATTCTTTCAGTAGCATTCAAAAGGTTCATAAATTGTTGTTGGATTCCGGCAGGATTTTTTCTATGCATTTGCTCAAAACATGCGGGTAGCGTATGCTGTACAATCGGTGATTGTTTCGATAAAGGTAATTGACATAGTGAACAAGGCATCATTTGAAATTCACATTGCTGTTCATGTTGTTCAAGATCGTTATAAAGTAAACGGACTTGACACCCATTCGGAGCATATGCACACCGGATTGGTAATCTGCTAAGATCGGTAGCGATATGATTAGGCACAGGTGCTTCTTCAAAATTTTCGCAATTGTTCGTTCCATGTTGGGGACGTTGAGCACCGAAAAATGTCGTCATTTTATTGAGAAAATTACTGTGAGGACGACATTTTTTGCAAAAAACAGTTTGACATTTTCACAAGAGACTGGTTTCCCAATCACATTTCGACATATCGAACAGAGCAATTTATCAATCGGAATCGCATCTGACTTTTTGTCAAGAGCAATCCGAAGTCTACTAAGTGTATCAATTTCGACCGTAGATTGGATATAAATGCGTCTCACTCTATTCTAATCGAGAAAAAATTGAATGTACATTTTGTATATGAGTAAAGTCGTACTCATCGTATGAGTACTTTCATTAGGGAAGCGATTCTACCTCAGGAACATCGTGTAAAACTATTTCTTTTCGCTTATGAGTGTAAGAAAGTCCCGTAGGAGCTATAAAATCAATCTCTCTATTCATCTTTTGTTTTTTTTCTGCTGATCTTTCTATGATTTCTGTTGCTAATTGATATAGTAACGATTGTTATCCATTATATTCTGTACCAGCGAGACAAATATATAGCCTAACTTGCACAATGTTCCTATTCTCCAACAAGAAATCTGTTAACATATAAGAAAGGATATTAGCTATAATAATAGGATTTAATTGTACTGAAGTCGAAAAGTGATTAATACCAAAATCATCCGAATGAGCCACTATATTCAATGTACTCCAATCTCCTTGATCCGCAGAAGTGACCTTAAGTTCATGATAATT